GCTTTAGCTTTGAAATTGAAAGATGAATTGAGATGATGTGTCATTAGAGAAGATAGGTACGTACCATGAGTGTAGTATAATAAATAAAGATAATTGCAACCAACATATATATTTATATTAATAATTAACACCAACCTCAAAAAACAAAGAAACCATGGAAAAGATTAATGTGCAGATGATCACCTTATTACTACTGTTGTTGCTATTCTTCTCCGGTGCACTTGACTCTCTCTCTCTCTCTAGATCTCTAGAGCTCTCTCTCTCTAGAATTATGTATTAATAATGGTACTGTACATGCGCAGGGGGCGGAGTTGCGGGAAATACGAAGAAAGAGTGCGAATTCAGAACGACGTCGAAGTGTTGGCCGAAGGAGAAGTGTGAGCCGAATGCTTGTGCTGCGGAATGCATACAAGACACTAACACTGATGATTCTGAATGTGCTTATCACAAAGGCTTCTACATTTGCTTTTGTTTGTCCGGTTGCCGCCCCACCAATTCCACCACCACTACCGCCGCCTCTCCAACGACTCCTCCACCTGCATCACGTCCTCTTCGTCGCCGTCCTCGTGCTTCCTATCGTTTTCGTTGTATGTAATATTACAATTTAATATATAATAATAATACTAATAATTCTTGTTAGATCTCATCGATCATTCGTAGCTAAATATGATATTTATATAAGCGCATTAATATATGATATTTAATTATCATACAAAATTTACTAGCCTTTGGTCTCATTTTACATATGTAACACCAATATTGCATTTATTCTTTTTGTGAAATGCATTTTTATTAAGAATTAATAATGTACATGAAGAACAAGAACTGAGCTACCTAATTTCTCATCAAGAAAAAGGGAAGGCCTGGAAATTTATTTAATTACATTAATTAATAAATATACATCTCTTATGCATATATTAATAATTAAATCGTCCAAATACAAAAAGTGCAGAAAAAGCAAATTTCACAAACATCACTAGATTGAGCCGTCCCCGCCAATACCACACCGCAGCAACGCCATCTGCGCCGCCGCCCACCGCCGCCACCAAAGTCAGAATCCCACTTGAAAAGATTGAATTTTGGAACCAACCCAAATCAAACGAGAGCCAAAAAGAAGAGCCCTTTTCTTGGCAGCATCAATAGCAGCTTCCACATTAGCCTTCACCGTCACTTGCCGCCACCTCTTCCGCCGCACCGGCGGCCACCGCCGGCAGCCGCTGCTCAGCCCTACTGCAATGCACATTGTTGATCAGCAAATAATCATCCTTTATCAAAAATCTGAAGCACACATATATATATATATATATATACTTTTCTTAGCTTTACTATTTATATCGGCCCAGAAAATTTGAGAGTCAAATTAGCGTTGTGTGTGTGTGTGTGTGTGTGTGTGTGTGTGTGTGTGTAAATATGTGTGTACTGGCTGTAGAGTGGTGACTATTTTCTGTATGAATGCAATGAGGCCAAGTAAATTCGCATGAAACAAGGGCTTTCCGTGTTTGTACTTGTTCTGGCATCGTTTTTTATTACACACATACATACAACATATATATGTATATGGATAAATTACAAAAAACCCCTTAACTTAGAATAAATAACGAAAAACACTTCCACCTATCCATAATAGCCAAAATCCCCCTCTGATTAGCTGTTGATCGAGTTTTTAACAGGAAAATGTGTATATTTTACTATACCTTCTGTTAAATAGGTAAGAAATAAAAGAAAATATCTGAAATTGTGTTAAGTCTATTTCCTGAATAAAAAAAATCCGTGAAAAGTCACACTGTAAGGGGTTGGTGTAAGATGAAAACAAACCTCATGGGGTTTTTGATAATTACAAATAGGTGAGGGTGTTTTTTGTTATTTAGTCTAAGTTCAGGGGGGAGTTTCGTAATTTACACTATATGTATATACAAAAATTAAAAAATATATATATATGTATTTTGAATTTTTTTCTTAATAATAGAGATAAAGAAATTGTTCAAATTCAAAATATTAAAAATTAAAATTAACCAAATTAAAATACAATTGTCCTATACTCTACATGTCAAAAAATAGCTTCAGTAATTTAAAAGTGGGACTGGCTAAAAACAGCAGCAATTCCGAGGCCGTATTTTTCTTTCTCTTTTTCGAGACGACCAAACCAAATACCCAAATTGGGCTGCTCTTTTCAATGAACTAGGTTTGACTAGTCTTGACTTTTGTGGGCCTAAATCCATTAAATCCAAGGGTGATTTGGTCAATTGGCATATGCAATTAGGTGTTTATTTTTATACCTAATCTTGATTATTATTCATTTGTTCCACAATAACTCTTAAAACAATTAAAAAAATGAATCAAATAAAAAATTATGTTAAATTACACCTACACCTCTAAAGTATGTTAAAACAATTTTAAGGTCCCTTTGGTATTGGTAATTACAGCCACACCCCTGAAACAATTGCCGGAGCCACGTTTTCATGTCTTGAGGACCGATATGCACTATATTTGTTTCCCAATGAGCCGTGAATGCTACCATAGACGAAAATTTATAAATTTTATAAAAAAAAAACAAGGATTTAAAAAACATTAGGAGAGCCTTATCACCCCATAGCTCAACCACTGTCTTAAATTAGTAGTCCGTTACAACTCTAACGGAATAACTTATCCAATGAATTATTTCATTAGCGTTTCAAACAATTTTTCAGGAGATAATTATAATTCAGGGGCGTGGGTGTAATTTACTCTAAAAACTATGATCTATCACTCCCACATATATTATTACAAGAAAAAGGAAAAACATGAATGGAAAAAAAGCTACACATTCACAGTACTTTCCACACCATATTTTTTGGTGGTAACGTTTCATCAGACTTTAGCTGTGAGCACTAATTCTTATTACCAAACAAAGGATTGAGAAAGTGATGCCAAATTCTAAACAAACAGAAAAAAGCAGAAAAATACAAAAATAAGATTAATAAAAGAGAAAAGTAATATATTTTGAGATGTTAACTCATCGGTGAAAAGCATTAAAATCCTAAAGATAGCAGTCCTTTTCACTACAGATATTCAAAGATAATACACATTTAAATTACGACCAAGCCCCTGAGGTAAGGTTAAATTACAAAATAAAACCCCTATTTTTAGGTAATTGCAACTAACACCCTTAACTATGAAGATTCTTACATATCAATTATTGCGGTGTTAAATTTAGTGGAATCTTCTAGATTATATGGAATATAATATTCTCCAGTTTGTACTCGGTTTACCCCATTCGAGTTCAATATTTTGAAACAAAATGATTATAAGATGTATCTATTGGCTTGTATTTTTGCACAAAACGAGTACAAAGTAGAGAACATCTCACGAAATGTACTAGATTTCTTTTTAATTTGACATCATAAGAATGTTAGACGTGTGAGGAGATTCATAAGTGAGGGGATGATTGTAATCACCCAAACATTAGTGTTTATCTAAAAAGTTACATGCTAAAGCTGAATAAATTAAATTAAATCCCAGGAAATTAAAAAACACAAACATGCACACATTATATATACATACAAAAGCAAGAAGAAGCGGTTAATATGTATGATCACATGCCACGCACGTGACTTTTTGAAAAATTGGTTATTTGAGGACTAATTTCGTGCCAGAAAAAAACATTAAGGACCAAAATGGAAAACAATGTATAATATAGAGACTAAAACTATAATTATCCATACTCTTTACTACAAAACAGGCCGAATTGTTTTTCTTAATTGGGCCTTCTTTTAATAGGCCAGCCCACTTAAAACTATTTACGTATTAAAATCTTAACATCAACTGGCCTGCACTAGTAATATATTTCAAGAACATTCATATAATTAATTATTACTCTCCAAAATAATCTAATTAAATG